GCTAAGACCAGTTCAGTCTCACTTTGTTCCTTTTATCGTACTTCTGTCTCTTTGTATCTGCAACTTCTAATGATCTTGGCCCCAGTTTTCCTCTGATTGTCTATTAGGATTATTGAATGGGCTCTGAGAAACTAGCTTCTCACAGTTTTAGACACTCAGGGTTGTTTTTTTTTAATACCAGACGGTGCATCAGCTGTACCAATTAAAAGTTGGAGTTTATTTAAAAATAACCTCAGATAAATTATTTAAAAAGCTGGTTTCTTGGTGTAAATGGCTCATGTCTTTGCTATTTTCTACAGATTCTTGGCACTGCGCTGGATGTTGGCACCTCAGGTTGTGTTTGACCTGATTGTCACATTCAAACATTACGATTCATCAACATTTCTGACATGAAGTCAGCTGAGTGATCTGTCTTCTTAGTGGGTCATGTGATCAGGTGTTTAGTTGAACTCCTCTGAGCAAATGTATTCCCAAAAAATGACTTTATTCTCACATCCCCGACACCTACCGTATGCATCGGCCACTTTATTCTAGGGTTATGTAGCTGCTTGTCTGTTTTATAACGGTGGCTGACATCAGTCATTAAAACTGATATTTTGTAGCATGGCGCTGGAAATCCAGCCATGGTGCGGTGTCACATCTGAGTCTATGAAAGGGAAACTCTGCTATTAGCATTAGCAACTCCACCACACAGCAGAAGCTCCTCCAGGCTTGTTTTGTTTGTGGTGGTTAAGCATCCATGTTGCAAGTCAGTGGTAGAGCCGCGCTGCTGTTATCCAGTCCTGGACGAGATGTCCAAATATCAGGAAATAGGACCCCTAATCCTGCAGAGTTCGGCTCCCCTCTGATGTGGGATTCTGCTAGTTCCTGAAACAGGTGCATCTGAGCCCCCCTGCTAAGCAGCGAATACTGCAAATGTGTTGATTGAACAAGTGTCCCACACCTGTAGCTTCTTTAGCTGTTTACTATAAATATCACAAAACAAATTATGTTTCGAAGTTTTGATCAGAGAACTGTGTTTAATATATGAAACAAAGCAGTATTTAAGATCAGCCGTGCCAGGACACCAGTAAACTGGAACATATTCAAGTCAAATCTTTCCTCATATTCCCAGGGGCGCATCCAGAAATTTTTGATAGGGGTGGCCAGATGGGGCCAAACACATTTTTGGGGTGGCACAAAAAATTGAACCTTGTGGTAACTCTGGGAGAGTTTAGCCTGTGGTGATGTTTTGCATTGCTCCTTTATTCATTTTTATTAAAAAAGCAGTACGTATCAAAAACATTTTACATACATTTTACAAACACAAACATTTCAGAAAAGTACATTTCAGTTATTTAAAATGTTATTCCAAATTTAATTTACTGTTAAATTTTTTTTAGGTTAACTCACCTGTTGCTGTGTTCATAAAAAACTATGGAGATAAAAACTTTTTTTAAATGGTGAGCAGCGGAAAACATATGTATTTATTTATTATAATAATTTATTTACTTATTAATTGTCTTCGTCTTCGTCTTCCTCCGCTTATCCGGGTCCGGGTCGCGGGGGCAGCATCCCAATTAGGGAGCTCCAGGCCGTCCTCTCCCCGGCCTTGTCCACCAGCTCCTCCGGCAGGACCCCAAGGCGTTCCCGGACCAGATTGGAGATGTAACCTCTCCAACGTGTCCTGGGTCGACCCGGGGGCCTTCTGCCGGCAGGACATGCCCGAAACACCTCCCCGGGGAGGCGTCCAGGAGGCATCCTGACCAGATGCCCAAACCACCTCAACTGGCTCCTTTCGATCCAGAGGAGCAGCGGTTCTACTCCGAGTCCCTCCCGAATGTCCGAGCTCCTCACCCTATCTCTAAGGCTGAGCCCGGCCACCCTACGGAGGAAACTCATTTCGGCCGCTTGTATCCGCGATCTCGTTCTTTCGGTCATTACCCAAATCTCATGACCATAGGTGAGGATTGGGACGTAGATCGACCGGTAAATCGAGAGCCTGGCTTTCTGGCTCAGCTCCCTCTTCCCCACGACAGATCGGCTCAGCGTCCGCATCACTGCAGACGCCGAACCAATCCGCCTGTCGATCTCCCGATCCCTCCTACCCTCACTCGTGAACAAGACCCCGAGATACGTAAACTCCTCCACTTGAGGTAGGACCTCTCCCCCGACCCGGAGGTGGCAAGCCACCCTTTTCCGGTCGAGAACCATGGTCTCAGATTTGGAGGTGCTGATCCTCATCCCAGCCGCTTCACATTCGGCCGCGAACCTACCCAGCAAGAGCTGAAGGTCAGAGCTGGATGAAGCTAGGAGGACCACATCATCCGCAAAAAGCAGAGACGAGATTCTCCTGCCACCAAACTCGACACACTCCACACCACGGCTGTGTCTAGAAATTCTGTCCATAAAAGTGATGAACAGAACCGGTGACAAAGGGCAGCCCTGTTATTAATTGTATTATTTTTATTTTGTTTTACAATTATGTCTTGAATAAACAAGATCAATATATGGTTTGACTAAACATTAATATGATTCATTAAAACTGACTTTTCCTGGGAGGGCCAGCACTTTTCTAGGGGTGGCCACCCCTTGGGGGCACCCTTGCATATTCCTTCACATTCTCGAAACTTCCCCCTGTTTTTCATTTCAGAAATCCTTTTTTGATGGAACATTTTTTTTCTGAAAAATTAAAATCTAAAAAAATTGACATTTTGGGGAGGAGAAACTGAAAGATTAACATACTTATTTACTTATTATGATCATAAGGACAAATCTTTTCCAAAACAAATGAAGGACTCTATATTGTTTCTTCACTGAGGTATAACAGTGGTGACAAGGAACGTTACAGACATAATAGAGAATATTTATTAATATGAAATGTTTCATTCAGCTGAGATCTATCTGCTGCTAAGAAGGCTGTTTATAAAATCAATAATGTGAGAAAACAAAATGCTTTTCTGCTCTTCATCATATCTACATCAATGCTCCCAGCTAACTATAGCATAGCGCCCGCTTATTGTCTATGTGTGAGGAACAATAACTCCAGTTTTGTCTCGACTACCTGTTTATAAATGTAACAGCTGTCACAGCTTTTTAGAAAAAAAATATTTTCTCTGTGTTTGATTTATGACTCAGCTCTCGGTGTCACTCTGAAGGCAATTACAAGGTGTGAAGGGATATAATATGCATGCATTGTCTCCGTAAGCACGACATTCTGCCAAGTGTTGGAACAGAGGCGCTGCTCTTGAAAGAGCATCATCGGTTATGCTTTTGTGTGCTGGTATGGTGGTGCATCTCATAACGTGTGTATGTGTGTGTGAGTGTGTGTGTGTCAAGGTGAATAAGCACCTTTGTGGGTTTCTAAGAATGACAGCTGCTTTTTCCTTAAATGTTTGCCCACGATTTCCAAATAAGCGTTTGGTTTACAATCAAACGCAAACAAAACAAAATAAAATAAACAACACATTTTTCTAATGATTTGCAAACACTTTAAAGATGTGGTTCATTCATTTAATTAATACTTTTGCAGTGCTCTCTAGTAGGAATGAACACCTTGTAAGTCGTACTCTGGGAAAAAAGCTCCGGTGCGCCTGTTTCAGGAACTAGAAAATTGCCACAGCAGAGTTGAGCTTCAGACGGTATGAATTAGAGTCTTACTTCTTGATTTTTGAATGTCTCACCTCTGATTGGCTAACAGCATCGCAACCCTACCACTGATAGTTTTATACGTTCATTCTGTTTTTATTCGTAATCCATTTCTTGTTCTTGTCTTACACAGTTTATCTGACATGTTTCAGCTAGAATCTCTACCAATAATCAGAGATCGCCGGTGTTGGTGGCGTCACTTCCTTGTTTGACCCCCAGTGACACCACCAACACCAACGATCTCTGATGATGGCTGAAGATACTAGCTGAAACATGTCTACACTGTGTAAGAAAAGAACACGAAATTGTCTACCACTGACAGTTTGCTCTGCAAAGTTGATGCTTTTTCTCAACAATTAATACAAGCCTGGAAGAGTTCTGCTGTGTGGTGGCATTGCTAATGGTTAGCTTTTGCTAGTCAAGAAGACATTCTCTGCTGTTTCCTGGAAGCTAATCTAACAACTTTCTAACTTTTCAATTTATAGAATATCACTGTCTTTTTTCAGAAGCTAATGTACGAGATAGGTGTAGGAGACTATTTTTATGTTCAACCTGCATGGAAAACTTAGTGACTCATTATAATCAGAAATACCAATTAATAATGTTTTTTCAGTGAACTACGTCTTTAATGTCATTCGGAACATGTCTTTGCCACATCTCATGGTACTATTCACATATCTAAATACGCACACACTAGTAGAGGTGTGTATACACAGTTGGTTTTGTTAGGAAGTTTGATGTTAGTGTCTACCAGAGGTCCTTATAATCTGGAGGGGCTGTAGAGCCCCGGTCCCATGTGACCCACCATTGATTAATGTCATTGTGAGTTTTCAGCCTCTTCAGAGGTCACCTTGTGTGTCGCCTTTGCTCAGCGTCCCCCTGCTACGTCCACTTTTGTGCACGGGCTGCGTTTGTTTGTTTTTTCCCCGTCACTCTTTAATCTCCATCCCAAAAGCGTCTCAAGGCCACATTACCTGAGAGAAAGGAAAATACGGCGCGGTCTTGTTATCTGGTTGGCTGGAATCTTTCTTGTATTTATGAAGCTCTGGAAATTGCCCAAGATTGCCCGAGCCATAGTGAAAGAATAGAAAAATGGCGCAGACAGTGAATCAGGTTTATTGTTAAATTGTCAGAGAAAGCTGTCATTTAGTGGAACCACAGGCTGTGCTTATCCGGGCAGAGAAAAAGCAATCATTACAGGAAGAAAGTCAAATCTCAAGACACACAGCAGCCACTTTAGCCAGCTAGAACACATGTTATGCATTTACCTCAATCTACATCATGTGGTATTGTCAGTCAACATGTCAACGCAAACTGACGTTTTGATGTACGCAGTCCATTTCTGACATGTCTAACTTGTGACTCCTGCACAGGTTCTCTGGAGCCCACCTATCAGCAGCTGCAGAAGATGAAACTGGACAAAAGTCCGTTTGTGGTGGTGTCTGTGATTGGCCAGGAGCTGCTGACAGCAGGCCACCACACAGCCTCTGTTGTGGTGCTGGAAGCAGCTTTGAAGATTGGAACGTGCAGCCTGAAGCTACGTGGCTCAGTCTTCTCGGCCCTCAGCAGTGCCCACTGGTCTCTGGGCAACACGGAGAAGAGCACAGGATACATGCAGCAGGACCTGGAGGTGGCCAAGACTTTAGGTATGGCAGGAGAGGAAGTACCTTTATTCAGTTCAGTGTAATTAAAGAGATATGTTGAACTTTTCTGTGGGTACTTTTTATTAAACTCCCACCTCCGTGCTTCACTGTCAAATCTATTCGATCTTTGCAGGGTTCTTGGCAGGATGCATCCTGCAACCATCCTATGCAGAAAAAAATCATCTTGAGCTCATCCAATCTAGGTGTAGGCTTTCAATATTCATCAGGCATTTTTTTGATTTTTCAGCAAAGCTTAATCAATTAATGCCAACAAATAAGAAAGTAAATCTTTTTCTGGATGTCGTCCATAAACATCGACCTCATGCAGTGATTTTTACTTTGCCTGAGCTGTGACAGCAACTGTGGTTTTTAACTGAAACACTCACCTGTTTTTCACTGCTATTGCAGTAGAGCACTCTCGAAAGCTCTGATTAGACGTAGCGTGGTTTGTTCTGTACTTCCTGATTACTCTGCTGCAGCTGTTTCGTCTGCTTGATCATAATCCCAAAATACAGACTTTGATCATTATCAGTTTTGCAGCTCTGTGATCTCAAGTGTTTCCTGTTTTGTTACACTAAGTTTGGAAATTGAATAGGGCTGGGGGTAAACGATTATTTTTAAAATGATTATTCTGACGATTATTTTATCGAATAGTCGACTATTCTAATGACTATTTAGAAAATTAATCTAATGATTATTTTTCTATTGCACAATTAACAAAAACCAGAAAATCTCAAATAAATTCCTCAAAACAATGGATAAATTCTTACTGTAAGAGAATAAACACTACAGGCCTTCCATTTTGTATAACACTGCTTTTATTGTGTTGCGGTTGGTTATGTTCTGGTGACGTGTAGAACTTGGGAGTGCAGGCTGCTGCCTGAGAGGTGGTAGAAGATGGAGTGTCTCCATGCTGCTTTGTTTTGGTCACTTATGTGCGTGAGGCGAGTGGTCTTACGGGTTAAACCAAACTCAGGTGATATTTTACACTAAACCGAAAACCCACAACACTCTAAATGTAATAAAAGGGAGATCTACACCACAAAAAAGATGAACTCTAAACCAAAACGTAACAGCTTATCCCAACGCAAGAAGCTGTTAGCGAAGATGCTAACAGTAGCTTTACCAACATTAAGTTCAAGTTACCAAGTTTAAATGAACCAAAAACACCCAGCAGCAAACAGACCAGCAAGGAGGAGAGACTGCTACCACCAAAACAGCTCTCCTCATGTCTGAAAGAAGCTCCTTAATGAAGGGAGAAGCGCTCTCGGTGATTTTCTACATCTGCGATAGACACGAAGCAGCGCATCTGACCCCGGAAGTTGTTGTCCGTTGCCGGGAGACGAAGGGGCAAAACAGGAAAATAATCTAGTAGTGGACGGACGTTGTTCCGGGTCTTCTGTATTTGGCGGAGATGTTAGTGAAGGCGGAGAAGAGGGCGAACTAGAGGAAAAACAGGCAGATTCCTCCTCTATTTACAAACTCCTGGGGATGCAACAAGTGGGCGCGGTGCGTCGACTTCCGGATCTGACGTCGACAAATTTTTAGAATCGAGCCGTCTACTTCGTCGAGGCTTCGCTACAGCCCTAAAATTGAATGATTTGACACTGATGTAGAAGCATGGCGTGCATTTTTATGTTCTTCAGAAGTGGAAACCTGTCGTTTTAATTCCTTACATTTTCATCCAAGGTTCTTACAGTATGTTAAATTTACTGTGATTTTCAGTTTTCCACTAATGTGTAGCCTAGACCTCAGAGCTGTTGGATCGAACCACAACTCACCACATTAGGTTTTGTTAGGCACATCTTGGGTTGCACTCCTTTTTGCCTTTTCCGCTCTAATTCTTCATGGCACAAATTCAAAAATGTGTTGAAAACATCCCTCGGCTATTCTGGTCCATATTGACATGACTTAACTCATTCACTGCAACTGACGACTAAAGTCGTCATTTTAGATCCAACCGTTCACTGCCAATGACGACTAAAGTCGTCATTTGCATTTTTTTTTACTGTTTGAGCATCAGAACGAGCCCCCGCACTGAGAGAACAAACATCTCAGCCCTGAAGCCGATCTTCGTCCGCATACGTCACACGTCACATGATCAGGAAGCAGACCATCCATGTATTAGGAGATCGTTTTGGGCCGTTCCTGTAAAAAAAGGTGAGGCGTGAACCGGAAAAGCGTCTGCCGATCACAATTCAACAACGGATTATTAAAGAACGGATAACGCTCAAAACACACGGATTCTTCCTGATGTAAGAGGTGAGTCTCCTCTTTTTTTTGGTTGTTTTGGCGTCGACATCATGCTAGCGCGAAATGTTCTGTGACTCTTAAAAAAACAGTAAAAACGGTGAGAAACGCTGGCAGCGAAGGCCGTTAATGATCAGGAAATGGCTGGCAGTGAATGAGTTAATCTCAAAGTTACATCCATGTTCTACTCAAGGGGCAAACTCCGCCTGCCAAAAGGGAAGCCAACACAGGAGTGACAAAACATGCAGTTTCTCCCTCGTCCACTAGGGGATGGCTCAAGAAAGGAGCAAGTTCCCATTCTTCCAAGTAAGAAATACCAACTTGATTGCAATCAATCAATCATCAATCAATCAATCAATCAATCAATCAATCTTTATTTGTATAGCACCTTCCACTGCCTTTGCAGGAGCCCAAGGCGCTGAACATAAACTAAAGTAAAAACACAGATAGCAATTAAAAGGAGGTTAAAACAACATACAGACGTAAAAGTACCGTACAAAATGTAAACAATGAGCATATAAAACATACAATTGCTTGCAGAAATACCGTAAATCCTCTAATACAGGTATTTGACTCAAGCTCATCAACCTCCAGGCCTTTATTGGAAGGAGGGCCAGTATTAGAGGCAGGCCTCTATTTCTATTTGAGCAAAATGAACTAATGGTTCGCTGGAGTTTTTGCCAATTAAAATTGCGCCCACATTTTCAAAGTTAAACACATTTCTTTTAACAACGGTAGTTTCTGCTTCAGCCATCTCCCCCCTCCCCCTGCTTCAGCCCTCCACCCCCCTCCCCCTGCGCCGCAAACTCACTGATGCGCCTGCAGCCTCTCGGAGTTCCTGCTGCTCTAAACATTAAAATAATTATTTCATTTTCTGTTCCTCACTTCTGATTACCTTCAATGGTGTCTGTTTGTTGCAACCACCAGGTACAAAAACTAACTTGTTTTTATTTGACTATTTTTCTGTCCTGCCTGTTTATTATCTTCCTGCATCTCCTCTCAGTCCTAAAGAAAAACTGCTACCTGGGTTCATATATATTCACCTCATGAGTTACCTTTGAACTGCAGTTCTAAAAGATCTACCGACCTCAAAAACAGCGGAGCGCTCGCTGTTTGGCGGCCGTATCAGTGATCAGTGCGTCGGAGGACAAGGTGATGCGCGCAGCGCCCCACTCCACAGCATGCAGCGAAACGCATCAGGCGCAAATAAAAGACAGAAAACATTAAAGGAAATGAACCGACATGAATGATCACGTGTTAAATTAGTTTTTGAGGTGGCGACACCTGATTGTTACTGTGGCCGTGCTCAGGAGGCAGATCTACCGACCGCGAAAACAGCGGAGCGCTCCCTGCTTGGAGGCCGCATCAGTGATTTGTGCGTCGGAGGACAAGGTGAAGCGCCCCGCTCCACAGCAGCGATACACATCAGGCACAAATAAAAGACAGAAAACATTAAAGGCAATGAACCGACATGAACGATCGCGTGTCAGTACCTACGGTCTGGCACAGCGCGTTGCCCCCCCCCACCCCCCCGAGCGCAGGAGCTTGTCACCTGCTGACAGCAGGCTGCTGTCTTTTACGAGGGCTGCATCTTGCCAGTCATTATCACTTGACAGCGACTAGTCGACGACAGGCATAAAAAGTCACTATAGTGAAGTTGACTAGTTCATACAACCCCTACTGCTGCTCCCCAGAGTGTTCTGCAGCATAATCAGCACGTTCTCTTTGAACTTGATAGTGTAATGACCTGGCTGGGGTTGTAAGCCAGGTGCATTCTGGGTATTGTGTTATATGTGTTTCCTATCGTTCTGCTAGTTCCTATGTGCTGATTTGCGTGTTGTGTGAGTGTTATGTAAGCCACAGGGAAGGTGATGTGTGTTCTGTGGAGCCGGTTGAATTAGCATGGTTAACTGACACCGTGACTCTGTGTGGTAGGAGCGTGATAGAGAATCGTGTCTGTAGCGTTACAAAGCGTTGAAGAAAAAGCCTAATAAAGGTCTGTGTGAACCTCTACTGCCTCCTGCTGGTTGATTTGGGGACTATAACCCTGCCGCTGAGACGCTCATACTTGCTTGTTACCACATTCCACCCGGCCACAATAAGAGACCGGCCATTATTCGCCTCTGCTGACTCCGACACCGGCCAAAATTGGAGACCCGGCCTTTAATTGAATACCGGCCTGTATTAGAGGATTTACGGTAAACATGTTTACAGCATGTTACAATAAAAACACATTTTAGGTTTAGTAGGTCAAATTTGAGCATAATTTTTGTATTTTGTGATAAAACGTGTGACCTAGATGGGAGTGGTGGGAACCGCCTACTGGGCTACAATGAAGCACTTCAGAAACTTACGGGTGAGGGCATGAAGGGTCCGTCCACTATTTATACAATCTATGATTCCACAATATTTGGTTCCATTACATCCCAAAGGTTCTGGACTGGGCAGAGATCAGGTGATGGTGGAAGCTCTAGGAGTCCAGTGAACTTAATGTCATGCTCAAGAAACACATCCCAGATCATCGGTTTACCACGTTCAAAGTTCCCTAAATCCTTGTTCTTTTCTTTGATGCTCAATTAAAATGTATCTCTGTCATGCCGTTTATTTCACCATTTAACCACAAATGGTTACATCTAGCTCAAACATTCAAGTTCACCTAAATTCAAGTAGAAGACTGACCATTTACCAGTGAAACAGTTGAGAAAAAGGGGAAAAGGGGAAACTCTTTGAAGGATGAGATAGGGAATAACTGAAAACAGAGAGCAGCGCAGACTGGCTCCACTCGTCTCACCCCCACACATTTGACACATGAGTGGGCAGAGCAGCTGGAGATAAGAAGCTGTGGATCTCAGGTGGAGCACAGAGACCTAAGCTTTGCTTTGACCACGGCTGTGAGGGCTCTCTGTCAGGCAGAAATAATAGGGCCTTCCCCTCCTGCCCTCTGGAGCTCTGAGATCAACACCAGCAGCTGTCAAAGAAGCCACTTTTCCTTTTAGGGGTGTTCATAGATGTGGATCATCGCATCACTGTTTAACGGCAACAGTAGGGGTGACATAAACTAAGCAACAGGTGGTTTATATTTTAATCCTGGCCAGAAACTCTCTTTTGGGCAGGCCTAATAAAAAATGGGTGGGCCCAATAAATGGAACTGAAAACAATTAATTAGAGTTCATTTAAAATTTGGTCTGTTTTATTTTATTGTATGATAGCCTGAAAGGACACCCCTCCAAAACAAAATAACTTTACATACATTTTTTATAGGAGCCATTTGATTGGGTGGGCCCTGGTAAAACGTGGCCCACCCATAGCCATGCTCATGTTTGGCCGTGTACTTTTTCATCTTATTCCTCTCATTTTTCCACCTCAGGTGACCAAACAGGGGAATGCCGTGCTCATGGGAATCTGGGCTCTGCATTCTTCTCCAAGGGAAACTACCGTGAAGCATTGACCAACCACCGCAACCAGCTGGTTCTGGCCATGAAGTTAAAGGACAGAGAAGTAAGTAGTGGAATAGCTGGAGCCAGGCAACTGTCACTGCAAAGAACAATGAATCCAAGTTGCATTTTTCCTTCTCCTCCGATTCTTTTGTCATGCTGAAGTGTGGGATTGTGTTGTGCCTAGAAATTCCTCTGTAGTCTCTGTTTAGAGGACAGCTGAAGGAGAAGTATTAAGGGCACAGAGATGCTCCTGCTTTTTATCATTTTGAGAAAAAAAAAGAGTTGAAAATAGGTGCTGAAAATAGATAGAGGTGATGAATAAATCAGGCAACTCAAGCCACACACAATCAGAGCAGAAAGGTCGTATTTATCTGCTTCCTGAATCTGTAATGGCTCTAAGAATCGTGTACGTTTAGGATTTGGTTTGTTGGAATAGAAAAATAATTAGTGGGTCAGTCGGATTTACTGTTTGATGCCCTCTTTCTCTCCTTTCTCTTCCCACTTTTCTGGTGTCTGGCCAGCCTTTGTGGTCATTGTTGTAGGGTGACAGGTGCTTGTTCTAACACAATTCCTGTCACGCCAGGAGAAGAATGGCCTCTGTTTCCGCTTCCTTATCCTCCGCACCAGGCTGGCAGGCCTGCTCGTTTGTGTTTCCTGATATCAGGAGACATTTGAACAGTCCGGTCAAAATGCAGCGCAATGTTCTGGGAGGAAACTAACTGTTGAGGAATGAGGCCAGAGACGCCTTTGACATCTTTAACTCCCACAGAGCAAAAGTATGTCTACATGGTTAGTAGCAGAGACGCGTGGGAGAACACGTTCAAGGATCTTAACGTCTGGTCTCAGCTATAGTGATGCTACATCAGCAATTAGCGGACCAAACATTTGTGTGTGTATGAGCAAATGTATACACAGTATGTAAGCAGACTGGTGCTTGTTAATGGAGTCTGAAGAAGCTTCAGCCGCTGATGCTGCTGTTTCTATCGAACGGTTATAAATGATTAATATCTCACTCATAGATAAGGATTTGAACAAACTTAATTTGGAGAGATACAAATTGGCTGTATATTGTGGGGGTTTGTGCAAAAGCTATTTTACACATGATTACACTAAAGCTTTGAGACAAAAACCTCCCAAACAGATTTAGCTATTTTCTATCCTGGTAAAATACAATGATATAGGATGGAGTTTATTGTGTTTCCTAATTAATACATTTTCTAAAACTGTTGAAACCAAAGTTTGAAATATTGCAAAAAATAAAAATTTACAAAAAATTCCTTAAAACTTTCATTTGTCTAGTAAAAGCTGAATTACCGTGATTTCCGGACTATAGAGCACACCTCAATATAATCCGCACCTACTAAGTTTAAAAAAAACATGGAACTGTACTTATATAAGCCGCACCGGGCTAAAATCCGCAGATATCCACCAGATATCTACTGAATTGAAAACGTAGTTGAACTGAATGTAACTGAACTGATCAGTATCAAACAAAACAGAAAAGTTATTGGTTAGTTTATTCATCATCCTCCTGTGCACTGAAACCACTGCAGTCATCATTTTCAGTGTCGGAGTTGAACAGCCTCAGAAGAGCTTCGTCACATACCTTTTCTGTTGCGATGTCAGTGTCGCTGTCCGTGTTGCTGTCATCATCCCGGGTGAAGTTGGCTTGAATGAGTTCTTCCCGCTGCCGTCTCCAGCGCCGAACCATAGATTCAATCATGCCAAGCTTACGTGCGGCAGCACTGTTTCCCTCCTTTACTGCCAGATCGATGGCCTTCAACTTAAATGCGGCAACATATGAACTCATACGTGTAGTTTCCATGATGAGGGGGTATGGATTTGAAAAAAAAATCTTCGTCGTGTCGGCTGCTTGCATGTGCTAAATTAAAATGAGCACTTTCTTCGATTTCCACTTTAGACTTCCACCTGTTTCACTTTCTGCTATAGCGCCCCCTGGCAGGTGAAGGAAAATCTTCAGTAAAGCCGCACCTCATTATAAGCCGCATGGTTCAAAGTGTGGGGAAAAAAGTAGCGGCTTATAGTCCAGAAAATACGGTACAAATCATACTGAATCACATTTTTGATCAAAATCAAACATTTTGCTTTCACAGAGAAAGTTTTGTTTGAGTGGAAAACTTCCTTTTCAAAACTGATAATGTTTGCAAATCTCAAGTGTTTGCTTTGGGAATGTTTTTTGAAAGGTTTGAATCTTTTTCTGTTTGAAAAGAAAAGCAGCTATGTGGGCGGAGCCTAGTTGTGGGTGATCCATAGCTATAGAAAGAGTTACAATGCGCTTTGAACTCGCCGACTCGAGGTCATGTGGTTCATGGAGCTCTCAATAGTTCCAAACATCCCAGCGGCTTAAGTCAGTTTGAACGGTGTATGAATAGAATAGAATAGAATAGAATTCAACTGTATTGTCATTGCATATGTACAGGTACAGGGCAACGAAATGCAGTTTGCATCCATCCAGAAGTGCTTTAGCCGTGATTTAGATGTATTACAATATATATTAGCAATAATATAGATGTGTAAGTATATTACAGAAATTTGTAATGTGACAGTAATGTTAATGTGAAGGTTTAGATGCACACGTACCGGTCCCGGTACGTTACTACTCTTGGAAGATATTACAGCCATGTGTGCACGCCCCTCCGTCATGCCCCTCGACAGATTACACGTCAAATAAAACTTCAAAGTGTCGTCTTTCCGTTGATTGAAACTGTTTTAGCACACAACAACCACAGCTCTGACAGTAAAGCCTTCTTTACAGCAAAGCATAAACTTTAAGAGTTGACTTTTCCTACCTTTGAGGGCTCTCAGCAGGTCAAACATCAATATTTCCGAGAAAGATTGGTCTCATTCTGTCCGTATGGCTCCAGGGAATATCATCTAGTAAAACAATTTCACCCAGTACATATATTTTAACACATAACCTTTGTTTTGACCTTTTTTTTAATTGAAATGTGTATATTTTATGGTTTTGATTGTGGAATATGAATGACCATAACTGGGTGTGGATAATGGAGTGACACTATGTGTAGATATAGATTCCTATAGGTGTAAGCTTTCAGTAGAGCCCTCATTGATATCTGTGGGTTGAAGCATTCAAAAGTTATTGCACTTTTTCCACACGTTCCCAAATGTGTCCAATTTGGATAGGTTTGGATAAACCAAAGGTCCCTCTGAAATGCGCCTGGACATGCCCGCATAAAAACTGGTGTAAAAAAATCATTTTTACAGATATTCTTTTCAAATTTGAAATGTGAGTAGTTAACAAGTTATTCTGTTGGCAGTTGGTGTGTTTCTGTCCCCAACTGCATATTGCAGCTATAGAGACCTTTTTTTCTTTTTAAATTATGCAAGAACAAAAAATTCATTTTTTCCTGATGGTTCTAAGGTGCATAACTTTTGACCTGTTACACCTAAAGTAATTCTGATGATTCTGTTGTGGGTGAAACTAGAGAGTGTTACCTTTACAAAGAGACCAAACATGTATTTATACTCGAGATGGTTCAGTAACAGAATTTGGAGAGGCCAAATTACAAGCGATTTAGCAAAAATGACCCCGCTTTTAATTAAATAGTGTTTTGCAGAAATGCTGAAGAAGAGTTGTTTTAAACGTGACACCAGTAAACTTTGGAACCAGCCCCATTTCAACTAGCCTTTAGCTCATCAATCCAGACAGAACTAATCTGTAATTCTCTAAAATTAGGTGGATCAAAAAGCCATCTACCCCAGGTAAGGTATGAATTGTTCATAACCTTTTCACTGAAGGATCTTTTCTGTCTCTCGTGGCTTTCACCGCGAATCTGAACTTAAGGACAGTGAGCAATACAAACGTTTACATCACATAATAAACATTGTGATTGGCTCCTCACAGACCCCTATTCCCTCTCTCCCTCCTCTTGTTCATCTGAAGTCCTCCTAATCAGAGTCATGTGTGTGTCACACCACCTGGTCTCCTTCAGAACACACTGGAGCCTGGTACGTAGCTCATTATGACGTGTGTGTGTGTGTGTGTGTGTGTGTGTGTGTGTGTGTGTGTGTGTGTGTGTGTGTGTGTGTGTGTGTGTGTGTGTGTGTGTGTGTTGTTTCTGATGTGGACTTTAATCTGGCCTTTCTGGAGGTCTGAGGTCACTTCCTAGGGGCCCAGGGACAGGATGTTTTTTTCTGACTGGATTTCCAACGTACACCACACACAACCTGAGAGTGTCGAGAAGACAAAACAGACTCTTGATGCACTGGTTCAAATCTGTTGTAACGTTAAAATTCCAATAAATTTGCGGTAACTTGTAATTTTATAGAGGTGTTTCTGCAACGCCACAGCGATGTAATAACAGACATGAGCTTTGATTAGGACAAGCTTTGCTCATGAGTTTAAAAACAACGATCTCCTACACTTGACCCTGTTTTATCCTGCAAAATCTAATAAAATTGGGCTTATTGCAGCATGGATGGTATTACGCTCAAACATTTGTATAGTTTCATCAAGTTAATTGCGTACATCTGGGCTTGTGGTGACATCATTAGAGCAAAGTCAGACAAGTCTAAGAGGTCAAACAGCCAGATGATCACGCAGATTTTAAACAAATGCTTAAAGATGTTGTTCTTAGCAGAGATACAACCCAACAGTCATGCTGATATCCTGCCTAATGACAAGTATTAATGTTACTGAGAGTTTGGGTTTACCATAAAAGCTGCTAGTCTAAACTACAGTGGCTTATCTGTGACGAAGAATCAGAGCGTGACAAAAAACAGGGCTCTTAAATGAGTGTTCTCCATAATTCCTGCAGCTGTGCAGCGCTTAGTTCTGTAAAGCTCGCAGGCTATCTTGATTAGATTTGCAACAACTGGAAAACCTCTGTTGTTGTTTTTTGTGGCTAAATGCTACATCAGGTCCTTTTGGCTGACTAAGAGCAGTTTGTGACGCTACTGGATTGTCCGTCCATCCATCCATCCATTTTCATCCGCACCCCCTCCAAGGTCTCTAAAAAGGGTGGGTAGTCTGAACTGTAGTTTGGTGCATAGGCATAGACCACAGTCAGAACCCGTCCC